CACGGCAACATTAATGGACGTACTTTAAGTTTAACAGTATACTTAATGTTTGCGACCGACAAGCTTAGTGGTTCGAGTGGCGTAATCGTTAAACGAGCCACTTGGCATCTTGTCGAAGGTATTCCATCGAAGGAGAAAAAAAGGCGAATGACCTACCTCATCGCGAACAAGTCACTCGAAACTTCCATGATTCCGTCTTATCTAAATGATCATTACGGTACAAAATATAAAGCGATTGTCACGTACGCATTATACACCTATAGTTTTTCTCATCTTCATATAAATATAACAGCCTGAGATTTTTTTTGATCGCTATTGGATACAGAAACACAGCAAATGATCACAGAAAAATATATTATGAACGTTAATGAAACGTAGTTTCCTATAGCAATCGATACTCACTTACAGATAGAATCTCGACAGATGTATAAAAAGAAAAAGATTGTAATATCGCGAGGCTGATGTATAATATAAAAATACCAGTTGACTCACCTTTGTTCTCCACACACGATCGTGAATTTTAAAATTCGAAAGCTCCTTCACATCGGAATCGTTACAGTAGGGCACTAAGAGTCCGGTTTCAAGGCCAAGATAGCAGATAGAAAAATAAACGAATCGTGAAGACTTGAATAGAAAATAAGTCTTCGATAATGAAGACACTAGGTAAAACGAATTGCTCGAGACGAAATTGTAAGAATCACATTAAATATCACTTCAATAAAATATCGCTTCACTAAACTTGTCCCGGCACAACGTGATTCCGACACAAACAAAAGGTGACTAAGAGATCCCGAGTATTCTAACCGCCTGTTTACATCGTTAATTTCAACCGCAAAACCCCACCCTTTTGTTATCGAACCTATCGGCAAACGACAAGCAGGCAACGTACATTTTCAGGAAAAAAGGCCAATGTGTTGACAGATCTCGAGGGATAAAAAACGGAAAGGATGAGACTTGTCACGATGTATGTATGCGAGTTTCACTCGTGTATCGTTACTCACGTATGCGTAAGCCGTCCTGTTATTGCGTTCCAGGATTACCAGCAAGTTCTTTACACAAAGATTTCACAATAATCGAACATCAAATCTGATGATATCACACTTTGTACAATTTAACGGTCAGGGTGTGCCCCGAATTTCCATGCGACCAACGGCATCCGTCAAATGTGAACTACTGTCGCCATCTTGATATGATCGCTTATAGCGACACAGGTTGACAAATTGTGGAACTATGATAAAATTGCGCGGACGATTCAAACTGTTCTAATTTCTTACGCAAAATTTTGCACTCTTTAAAAAATTGTTTTAATTACAAAATTGTTAATTTATATTATGTTTTAAATTGAGAATATGAAAAATCTATGTTAAATCTTAACAAATTTGAAATTTGATTAAAATTTTCTATATTTATTAGATATTTTAAAAATATCGATATTTATTGTTAAATATAGAATAATTGCTTATAAGATATAAATTGTAAAAATTTATATCACTTATTAAAAAACGTGAAAATTATAAATAAATATGTAAATCTATTACGTATCATGAAAAATAATAATTGTAGAATTATATAAGAATAAAAAAAAAGTTACGATATTAACGTTTTCATATTTTTCTTTATTTTTTTTTAATATATTATTATAAATTTCAAAATTAATTAAGTTTTTAAAGTCTTTTATCAATCTTTATCATAAGTATAGAATCATTTCATTAATAAATTCATATTAAAAAAAGTTCACTTCGTATAAAGATTTTAAACAATCGCGGTATTGAATCGTACTTTATGACGTCAAATGAAACGAAATAAGGTTAAGTACGAATTGTATATAAGAGGCCTGCATATGGTCAGGGTTTACAAATAATTCGCGACGTCCCTGGTTTCGATCGAATCAACGTTTTCGCCAGTGGTACTAGTAGTCCCTGGGCAGAATGCAACTGCGTGGTGACACGGAACGACGGATCTAATTTGCTAAATTTGGACACACGTGCAATTTCTGGTACGTAATTGTCGAAAAAGAAATTTAACTTGTTTAACGGTTAATCGTTTCAACATTAATATAATCATGGGACAAGCGGAATTTTATTAACCGACTTTTCAACCGATTGTTTTTAGAACACGTGCGGGTTGAACAACCACGTGGGCCGTATGTATCGAAAAGCAAGTGCCGCATCGTCCGGTGAGTGTATTTAGACAAGTTGCGATATTTCTGTTATCAGCACTATACTTTTGCAAAGAATGAAACATTAATTTCCTGAATAAAAACTCAATTAGAACAACTACTGGCAGTTGATAACTGAATTCAAACACGATAACCTTGTAGAATGATATTTTGAAAAAGATAAACATACGAATGACAACAGAATTTATATTTTTCACTAAAGGTTGAATTTTAATGGACGATATATGCATGTAATTGAAATATGTGATACATACATATCTGTCTATTAGGTAAAAAAATGTGATATAGTTTACAAATTTATAAAAATATTTGTAAGTAATAAAAATATCAGGGACATGTACTGTTGATGCAAAGATAGAAGTAAAAAGACTGATAGAATAAGAATACATAAGTAAGAACTCTTATTGATTGTTTGAAAAGAAATCCGGAGTAATGGCTGAAGAAGAACCGCAATCAAAAAAATTGAAACCATCTGTCATTTCTGATTTTATCTATACGGATAATTTTCAACAATTATTTACTGAACATTGGCATAATTGTAAAGATGTAAAGGTAGACAACCTTGAAATTATATCAAAACCTTTCAAAGTATGCAGAATTTCAAACTTTCTTTATAGCGAAGACGTTATGGATGAAATAAAAAATGAATTATTGGATGTTAAATGTAGAAGAAATTGTTTAGATCTTTATCAATTTGAACAAACTAGTGACTTTGTTAATATTGACTCAGAATATTTAAGGTTACTTTATCAGACTTTTCAAACAGATTTAACAGTATGGATGGAACGAATCACTAAGGTAGAACTTAATAAAAAGGTATCAATGTCAAGTTCTTGTTACTATGATACGGATTATTTACTTTGTCATGATGACAATATGGGTGATCGTAGAATTGCTTTTGTATTATATCTTTCAAAAAATTGGTCTGCAAGTGATGGAGGTGCTTTAGATTTATTTGACACTGATGAAAATGGACTACCTAGAAATGTTGTAAAATCTTTGATACCAGAGTACAATTCCCTTGTATTTTTTGAAGTTACGGATAATTCTTATCATCAAGTAGCTGAAGTAATTGCATCGGATAAATCACGTTGGTCCATTAATGGTTGGTTTCATGGACCGCTTAGAGAAGATACCAGGCCACCAAGACCTGAAATTGAACCCAATTATATAGAGCCATTAAACGATCGAATAAATTTGCGGGATTGGGTAACGGAGTGCTACATATATCCTAGTATCGTTAAAGAGGTCCAGAAAGAGATAGAACGGGACTCGTTCACACTTTTATCTAATTATTTCAAAGATGACGTATATGAAAAACTTTCCATAGATTTGACGTCCGACTCTATTGTTTGGAAAAAAGTTGGACCAGCCGATATTCGTAATTACGAAGTGGCAGATGAAACGAGCTTGCCAGAATTATTGTCGAAATTTTATAACATGTTTAAATCTGTCACGATATTTCAATTATTGAAAGATTACACGGAATTAGATTTGATATCAGAAACGGAAACTATGAATCCCAAGATGGCTATAGAACTTCAAAGATGGTCCAGTGGTTGTTACACCTTATTAGCCGATATAAATGAAAGAAGATCCAGTAATTATGGACGCCTTAGTCAAACCGAAGAAATACCAGAAGTCTCATCATTGGAAGTATTGGAAAAAAGTAGAGAAGATCAAGAGAAAAGTTCGGCAAATTACGAAAATAAAAGCATACAATCAGAATCCAATACTCCGGAGAGTATGAAGGGAGATAATGATGTCGACGAAGATGAAATATTAAAGAAAATACTTAAAGAGAAATCTTCGAATTCAAATTCAAAGAAGAAGTTATCGCGACAATCCTCCTTGTCCAAACTGGACGGTTCGTCGCCACAGAAGTTAGCTAGATCTCTGGACACGGATGATTCTGACGTATCTGATATCGGGGATTATCTTTCCGACCCGTTAGACAATTCTTTGGAAAATTCTGATCAGGAGAAAGATTTGGATGATGCGAATACATCCGATACAGGAGCTCTAGATGTAATAATTCAATTTAATACGAATCATATGGCCGAGGAGGAATATACAATAGATTATGTAAATCCCAAACAACTTGAGGGCACATTAATTCACGTGCCAACGAAAGATAACCATCTTTGTCTTGTTTATAAAACATTAAGTACATGTCGTGTTCATAAATACGTGACTCATTACTGTACAGATTATTTTTACAATCTGATTTGTACATATTATGAATAATAATTGCACATAAGACTTGTGTCGTCTCGTATGCTCTTTAAACGAGTTGACAATTGTATAATGAATGGCAGGCGAAAAGTGTCTACGTTCACATGTATCATAGTATTCGTATTAATAAAATTGTCAGTATTTATCTTCGAGCAATACTTTTTGTTATTTATTTCTACGTACCTAGTTACCTACTAACAATATTCCATATTGAATTTAGGATGCAAGTACCAAATAAGGAGTCGTGCGTGTCTCTTACGAAAACTAAGATGGAGATTAAGACCACAGTGCAGAAAACATTCTCGTTTATTAGGTGTCATACATCTATCGCTTACGTTTACTTACGGAACTAACGTTAGGTGCAATTAGGTCGCATGCGAGGGTTTCGAGGTAAATATATGTATATATGTATATATATATATATGTATATATATATATATGTATATATATATATATATATATATACTTGGCGTACTTGGATTCTGAAGAGAAAATTCTTAGTTTTTTTGTTTCGATGCAAAAGCGATTAAAAATTCTTATTCTAAATGTAAAAGAAATAAAAATAAAATAAAAAAATTAAGCTTACGAGTTTGAGGCGTTAGTATAATCGTTTTCCGGTTCTTGCACTTGTATCCTGATCTGTGTACAACTTTGCTGTTCCTTCCCATCCTTAACGATTTTTGTGGTAACCTGAAATAAAAAAAAATCTCTCGATAAAAATCATTCTATTAAATACGCGATAAAAATACGACATCGTTGTAAACTTGGATGTTTTCTTCTTCTTTTTAAATCGCTCACAAGACCATTAATGTCTTCGCCTTTTACCTTTGTTCCACACGATAATCGATCGTTTTTAATCATACAGCGTACGATTATCGTAACAAATCACCTGAGAAGTGGTAGCGATTCCAGCCATGCGTTTCCTCAATTCATTGAGTTGCAATTCTCTCTGGAAGCTCACGTCGTTTTCCTGCGAATCCTCGCGTAACCCGTCGTTAATCGATTCCGAGGAGTATTCTACCTGCACCCAAGGACAAATGGTCGGCGATGCTTGCAAGGAATTTTTGCTTCCTGGTCGAGAAAGTCGAGGGGAGAGCCGTCGAAGTAGCGAAATGAGTTTCGATCTACGAGTTGTTCGCCTGTTATTACACACATCTTTCTTATACGGAATCAAACGATAGAATAACGTACTTTGTACTGGGTGTTTGAAGGTGATCAGAACTGATTGCTCCACTTCTTGAAAGCTGTTCCGCGCTACGAGTAGTGTCCCTCCAATGCAATTTGTTAATTGATCTTCCTACCCGCCAATCTAGGCTATTGCTTTGACGAGATTGAAGGCCTGAAATAATAATTTCGAATGAATGATGCTCGTGTAACCTTAACGCTGGTTCGACGATAACGGTACACGGTATACACGGATCGTCTCGAACCGAAATATTCGATTCCCCACCTTTCTCGTTCGTCGTTTGATTAACCCTCCAGTCTAAGGAGCTAGTGCTTCTATTCACGCTATAAATATTATCACAGGATTTTGTCGCAAGATATGTCGCGTGATGACGACGTCTAAGCAATTTTGAAACTGGTCCCAAATGCCTGAAATACAATCGTATCGTTAGCAACGAATAAAATTTCTATCGACGAAACAAAAAAAAAAAAAAAAAAAAAAANNNAAAAAAAAAAAAAAAAAAAAAAAAAAAGAAAAAACAATATACAACATACTTACTTTTTGAATTTCCGAGATTGCTCGATAGGCGGTTTGCTGTCACAAACTACCACTTTGACTTCCGGTTCCGGATAGTACGTGCCCACACGAATGTGGCCGTAATTATTACGGACACCGTCTAGGGACCGGAAGTTACCGCGCTCGTTCGAAGGTACGCGGACGATCTCGATTTTCGGTCTTCCCTCCATTCTTCCTTTCTTCGCGTGTTTCTATATATATATATATATATATAATATTTCACGATCGAGTATATTCACTTGTCGCGAAAGTAAGAGAGTAAGAAAAAGAATTTAAAACTCTGTCACGTTGAGATCCTTCCTTCTTCTTCCACTCTTCGTTATCGACTACAACACTTGTTATCGGACGTGTCTCGGACGATCTCGCCGGTCCGTTTCTACTTTTCTCTCGGAAACTATGCCCATTCGCCCGTTCTTAAAATAGTCGTAGTGGAATCTTGAGCTACTTCTACTCCTAAAGTTCTCTCACTCTGCTATCGTATCACGTCATAACGGTTGATTCTATCGAGGCATTTGGCACGCGCGGTCATTCCATCACAAATCTTCGCCGGATTCACGAACCACGTGCGTCCAACTCTTCTCTTATCCGTACTGGAATTCCACGTTCATTCATTCAATCCGTATCGAACACGTTTGCCCCGATATCGGCAAAGATAATTACAATCGGATCGTCCCGATCCGCTCGTTTCCCTCGCTTTCGATTTCTCGCTTCACAGAATCTTCGCCGCCCGGAGATTTATCCATCTTCATTTTTTTTTTTTCCACTCGATTCGTTCGTCCGCCGCACATCGGCCCGCACTTGAGTCTCGGTAAAAATTTTCTCACAGAATAAATATATATATTCGGAAAAAGGGTGTACAAATATATATACGATTCTGGTATAAAAAATTTAAAGCGACGATATATATATTTATGTATATAAAAAAGAAGTAAAGTATCTTCTTTATTTGCACTCTTCGCAATATTCGAAGAGAACCTGTTCTCTCACATTTACGAACCTCCTGTTCTCTTTTTCGCCGCGCGTTTCTACAGTTTCTGTGCTCGTTTGTGTGGTTTCACCCGCGTCGTGTCTCTTGCTCGAAAAACCGGCGATCCCAATTTCCTAAATACAGGGGAGGGAGGGGGAAAAGAGAGAGAGAGAGAAAGAGATAGAGAAAGATACACAGATATTAACCATGATTTTTTTTTTCCCTTCAACGTATCGTACCGCGTGATCGAGACGCCTATTTTCGAGCAGTGATTGCGCAATCATCAATTATGATTAGAAGGAGGACAATACACGACTTGACTTGCATCGGACGATTGTCTTCGTACAATCGTTTTGAAATTGTTCTCGTTCGTCTAAATTGTTACGAGCTCGAAAAAAGAAACGATATATATATATTTAGATTCCTAGGTTTATCTCTTTTTCCTCTCGATTTTAAGCAGGATTACTTTACGACGTTAAATACAATACGACGTGTCTCGGTCTTTTGTTGAACACGAGGAATCGTATTTCGCGGGTAGAAGAGCGTAAAGAAACGTGTTGGTCTTCGTTCCGTTCGAGAGGCGATACGGTTCAAATCGCGGTAAGTATTCGCATTGGTTGGAGATTTTCGCGCGCGTTTATCGTCACCGTTTATTTAAAAACCACCATCCATCGGACGCACGCGAAACATCTCGCTGGATCGAAACTCTGAATTTTCATTCAATGGCAATTAACCCGTTAATTAATTCGAAAATAATACGTCTGCCTAGCCTACGCCGAACCGGTGTATAGATTTCCATAATTGCACCGACGAGACTGTGCTCCGAGAGGCAAACTTCTAATTAGAAAAGAAAGTGCGAAATAATTCGAACTTGGAGAACACTTGGAGAATATTATAACCCGTTCTCCAAGGTTTATTACAAACTTGGCCGAATATAACGGATATCACGATGCGACGCGAACAAACGAAAACCAACCACCTTACACATTCGATTACAGTTCCTGTTAAACTGTTCGCTCAACCGCTGTTCACGCTTCGATCGGGCAAATTATTGTATCGATCTTGATAAAAATAAAACGCGTGGAAGGTGCACCGTAGTAGTGCAACGCTTGAACGATTCGATTTGATAACAGCGAACGACACACTTGCAATGCGACGACAACGAAAATACACGTGTAAACATATATTAATATTAAAAAATATTCTACGGATTAAAATTTAGACGACAGGGCCAGCGAGGTAGGTCGCTTGAAATTCCATTAGCATTTCTCGAAGAACGGTAACGAATCGATCAGGTTTGCGGTCGAACGCGCGACACGTAGACGCGGGGAAAAGGTAAAGAAGAAGGTTGAAGAGCCGCCGTTTTCGCGCACTATTGGCGAGGAGGATTGGCGCGGCTTCGCCGCGGTATTACGTCCGCGCTCTGCGGCTCGCGGAGATTCACTGCCGGCTTTGACGTACGCGATCGTTGCGCTTTACGCGCGCACACAGATGCCTCGTATGCAACACACAAAAGCCACGTATCACACATCGTTGGCTTTTTGGAGCAGCGCGAAAAAAAAAAAATAAGTAATTAAAGCGTAAATACCTATATACGCGACTGTGTACCGTCATGCTTTACCGAAACTGGTGCTCGACAGACCAGATCTAAACATCGTTCGATCGTGAATTTCCACCTTTTTTAACTTCTCCTCTTCCTCATTTCAGTTAAATTCTAACCAACTTGGTTATAGAATGACGACGATTTTAACGAATTTTTAATCAACACCAGACTACCTTTCCCTGTTTTATCCTACTTCTTCGAGAGAGGATACTTCGAGAAGCTTGAAAAATTGCTCAAATTGTTTAACCGTCAAATTTCTTCTTTCCGTGCAACAATACGAGCAATTACTCGACGACGATATTTCATCATCGACCGATAATACACCACCACGGATTATCTACGAAACGGATTATCCACGCCCATTGCACTCGATCGAGGCGTAAATCGGAACCTGATGATTCCTAGACGCGTATCGTGGCGGTATTTCCGATTACGGGAACTCCCATCGCGGCTATCCATCCCGTGGCGAGCACGTGCGCGGCGGAAGCGTAGAGGCGCGCGGTTACCTCCACTGAAAAGTTAATCAATCGTCCGTCTGGCCGCGGTGAGGTAAGAAGGAAGAGGTGCGTGTCTGAGAGTGTGATTCGCGCGTGCTCGAAACAACTACCTAGCCACTAGCGGCATTATTACCGACAGCCGGAGAGAGGGAAGGCCGTTTTTTGCAACAAGCTTTGCAAAGCTATCTTTTCTACTTCAAGATTTGCGTGGCCCGGTGTGCGGATACGTACTACCTGAAAATAGCAACGACACACTTCGCGGTCTGCTGTGCCGCCGACATCGAACGTCGTCGCCGTTGGATCGGCGTCGTCGATGAGGAGAGACTCGGTTGGAGGCGTGCCAGGATCCCCTGTCCTCGAGGGCTCCGCGTCTCCCCAAGGCCTCTTCGTCGATTCTTTCCCTCGAATTATCCCCGGTCGATCCGGGGCGTAGCTCGCCCCCTTTCTACTACTACTACACGACGAACAACAAAATTCACCGGTGTTTCGTTTGTTATCGAGAGGAGGAGGGGAAAGGAAAAATTGGACGAAAGCACTGGCGTGCACGCGATCACGTGTCGGACGCGCGTTCCTCTTTCGCAGAAGCACCTTACCACTATTTTCGAATCGGTGATGGACGGAGGACAAGAGGGGAGGGGGAGAGAGAGAGAGAGATAGAGAGAGAGAGAGAGAGAGAAAGCGAGAGGGAAAGAGGCAAGGGTTCCCCCTTCGAACCCTCTGCTCGACAGCTCTCCCGCCCTTGATTGTTCGATCGCGACCACCCGCGGGATGCTGTCGACTACTGCAACGAAATGCGCCGAGGAAATCCCTATGCTCTCGAGCCCCCTCACCCCCTCGCCTCTCACGCCTAGCCCGCCAACCGATGGACCTGCGCTTTTCACCGCTGCACTCGCTCGCTCGCGTTCACGGCAATCACGACCGACCACTTTTTCATGGACTGACTTTTATCGACCGGGTGTGCGTGATAAAGAAGGCTCGTGAGCCGCGTTCAAATCGAGGAGACGTGAATTTATTATTCGTCCCCCTTGTATCTGATATCTCTTACCGATCGAGGAGAGAGGGGAGAGGGTAACGATTAAACATCTCGAATGTTTCGTCGTGGTTATTAGATCCGAATAGAAAGATATTTCTATCATTTAACGACGATTTTCCAATTCTTTCGTTGCAAGCAGTTTCTTCTCACTTATAATTCTAAATCCTCGCATCCTATATGGTTTCGTGTCTTGAAACGATGCTTCGTATCTTGAATATATATTATGTATATGAATATTCCGAGGAATATTCGGGTCGAGGTAATTTCAATTAACAATCAGAAAACGAAGTCAATGAAGTTGGTTGGAATGCATAGTTGGAAGATCCACAAGATTGATGCAAGATTTTTGTCGATTGGTATGTAGTAGAGAGATGCAATGTGGGACCGTACGTGGGTTTTCAAGTGTATTCTTTCGTAACGTTTCAATTACGTCTTCGTTGCGTTACGAAGTATGCGTATATAAGTCTTCAAATGATGGTTCCTATACTCGTGACTCGTTGTACGCGAGAAACATCCCATTTCCTTCCTGGGAAAAAGCAATCTTGGAAACGCAAAAAAAAGAAAAGAGAAGAAAGAATTAAAAGGCGCGTCCAACCTTGTTCCAAGAATTTACAATTCAATATTGCATACATTAAGCATCCACGCATAGTACGTTGTTTGGATCAGCGATAAAAATAATATCCTAATCTTTATATTTATACATAAGAATATATAATCGTAATTATAATATTTCGTTCGTTGTTTCGTTCGATAAAGATATACGATATAAGGAACGTACAGAGTAGCGACGATCGTAATTTATTTGATCTTTATTTCGTATTTGTACACGCCCTTAGCATGCCACATACAATCAATATGATACAGTCCAATGCAGCCAAGGTAGAAGTAAAATACAAAAAATATATATATATATATATATATGTATTTATATATATATTTATATTCTACGTCGATAGTTAATATTATTGTTACCACGATGTTATAACGCTGAATATATTATGGATAATAGCTAAAAATATAATACAAAGAAGAGTGCTGATTACAATAGGACACGTAATTCGGATTGAACGTGGTGCAATTTATGATAATTTTTCATCGTTCCTTCGAAATAACGCTAAAAGAAACGATCCTTGTTTCTCGGAGTTTCATTTTGTACGTAAATCGAAAAGTAAAACGATCTTCAAAATGAAATTCAAAATCACAGCTCTCTTACTTGTCGAAAGATTTACAAGATAACGTTCGATGCAAAAAGAAAAAAAAAGAAAATATATATATATATATAAAAAAAAAAAAAAACAAGGAGAACATGAAAAGCTTTTTTTTTTTTTTTTAATAACATTACGTATGGCTATGCAAAAGTATAAGTATAAACCATATCATGATACGAACGAGGTTCGATTTGGTATTTCGTTTACTTTCAACCCGCTTTGAGCGGGAATATGAGCGTGCACAAATTTAGAGAGACTCTTCTAATATTTTTTTTTTTTTTTTCAAAATTGGTAGCGCCTCTAAATAATTCGTCCTAAATAATTCGTCAGTCCTGCTTTTTTTTTTTTTTAAATATTACTAATACGAACTACAGCGCACTATCTAATTTATTGCTGTTGAATTTCGAGAGAGAAAAAAAAAAAAAAAAAGAATAATTAAAAATTAATCATTATGAAAAACATGAGTACATGGTGCACCACCCCTTCGAGAATTTTTCTTTTTTAAAAATAATAATATGATCAATTAAACATAGGACCGCCACGCCTCAGATCTCCGACGATTTAAACACATTGCTTACACAGCCATACGTTCGATACGCGATTCAAAATTTACTCCGCATATACTACGGAAAGAGTTAAAATCATTAACGACTTAATAATCACCAATTCAACTCGCATTTTTCTGTATATATTTTGGGGGTCATTCGTTGCAAAAAAAAAAAGGATCGGAAGAAGAGATACGGGAAGATAATTCGTTGAAACCTTTCGAGTTTTCTGAGTTCTTTATTAGAGCGTAGCCGGTAAGCGTTTATGGCAGCTTTATGAGGATGACTGGGGTAGCGACCGTCGTAAAAGTCATCGAAAAGAAAACCTAACCCAACGGTGAAACAACAATAAAGACGAATAAATCTATAATATTAACAATAGAGTGTAGTGATATTAAACTAACGTAATTCAACTAATAAGAATAGTAAAATCATCCTACGTATTTCTGCGTGTCGTGTCTCTCTCCTCCTCTTCCATCGGTTCGGAAAAAAAGAATGAAAAAAAAAAAAAAAAAAAAAAAAAAACAAAGAAATATTACAGGCGGCAGGAGAACGAGTCGAAAAAGAGAGAACAAAAGGGGTGTGGTAGAGCGGAGATCAGAGGTGTTCACGTACTAACAATTATCTCGTTCGTCATCGTTGACATTATATTATAATAATAATCGTAGGAGTTTACGGCTCTCTCCCAATTACAGCCTCGCTGACTGGAATAAAACGCAACTACGTAATATTGTATTGCGGGCTTACGATAGTTAGGTCTCTCTCTGTCGTCTCTCTTTTTCTGCACGACTTTCTGATAATTAATACTATATTCTCGTTATAATTTTACGCTCAGTTTCATCCTCGCGCAAATGCTAAAATTTTATTCTTCTTTTTTTTCTTCTTTTTCTTCTTCTTCTTCTTCTTCTTCTTTTTCTTCTTCTTCTTTTAAAATTATCTCTCTTTTCTTATTCATTCTTGTTTCCACACATACGTCCTCTTGCTCTCTCACTTTCTCACGCTCTCGCATTCTTATCACCCATCTTGCATTTTTTTCCTTTTTTTTTTTTTTCTATTTCAATCTTTCGCGATGCAGGATAGCACGCGAACGTTTCGTAGAAAAAAAAAAAAATAATAAACGATCGTTATCGCGATGATTTGTTCGTTTGCGATCATCCTGCGCATTAAACGCAACGATTCTCTCGTTTATTAACTTTTTTAACCTTCTTCTCTCTCTCTCTCTCTCTCTCTCTCTCTCTCTCTCTCTCTCTCTCTCTCTCTTTCTATATATATATATAATATACTTTATAAAATACATTAGTTTACAAACAACGTGGATTAAGTGACGACGTCTCGCGGAAGTTATCACAGCTCAGGCTCGATCGTGGAACGGCTCGACTAAGAACTCTACCCGGGCGAAACTAGTGGAAGAACTCTAGCTCGAGAGAAAAAAAAAAAAAAAAAAAAAAAAAAAAAAAAGCGCATTTTTCGCATGGTTCGCGCGCTACCACTTCTCATGAAATACTCGACTAATATCGCTTATTTATATATATATATATATATATATATATCGATTATTTCTCCTGAACCGGGTTACGCTACGGACGTCAGTCATAAACGCATGATTTTTTTCCTTTTTTTGTTTGTTTTCCTTTTACCCTTTTTACCCTCTCATTTTCTCTCTATCTTAATCTTCGTTAATTACGGAAAATAGTACTAGAAATATCATGGTAAAACGGGATCGCGTTACGGAGCTGCGCAACCGACTGGCAGAGACGTCGATCATTAGAACAATAAGACTATCTTATCGTGCTACATACATATTTACAAAGCCTCCTGCACGGAGGCGTTCTCCCTTCCTTCGATTTCGTTTCCTGAATCCGAAACATGCACTACTAGCTAGTGCAGAAAGTTAATGGGAAGGCGTTCATTCAAAGGACAGTTTTTCTCCCCTCCGTTAATTTTTGATTAACTGCCCGAATCGAATTTCGCGGTTGAAAATAAATATCTTCAAATTATACCGAGATAAAAACAACGATCCTTGTTCGAACGTGAATCAATTAACTCGAACGAAATTCGCAACGGCTACGATGATATTCTATTAAAATGATAATGATAGTGCATGTTCCGGACGTATCTACAATGAGGCAAGATCCCTTCAACGAAATACCCTTTCACCATCCATCGGACCACCGTTGTACCTATGTTATATCATCCGCTCTTTAAGGTTGCGTCGATACCGAACACGAAGAACGTACAAAGAATTCTGAACGGGTGGTTGCACGATTTGCAAAAATATTTTTCAACTATTTCCTACATTTTTCTTGCTCTTTTTTTTTATTTTTTTTTTTGTTTTTTTGTTTTTTTTTTCTTTTTACTTAATTTTTTCCAAATACTAACTTTTAACGATCGGGGGACTAATATCTTTTTAAGAATTAACGGTAACTGTTACCCTCGCGCGAGGGTAATTGGATGGTATAATTTTCTCTTTTTTTTTTCTTTTCTTTTTGTTCCTTTTTTCTTTTTTTTTCTTTTTTTTTTTTTTTTTTTTTTTACTGTAGTAGATAAATCTCTAACTTTTGCTCTGTTTTCGAACGGAAATAAATCGATATTATCGCTCTTAAAATGTGTGAATTTCGCGCGATAAAATATGTCGCTATAATATTTTATCTCTCTATCTAACGAGCACTTCGCGTTGAATTGGACACGGAAACGGGATAATCGGATAAAAGTTACAATTTGACGAGCTTTGTTGTCGAGCCTAATCTCTGCAGACCGAAGGGAAAGAAAATATCCGGGCTGTTGCAGCGACGTTCTTCATCTATACTCATCTCTTACGCTCGGATCCGGTAATCGTGAACAACATATATACCGGCATCACACGGAATAATTACTCTGATAAACGAGAAATAACGAATCGTTACAATGTCAGGATGTTTTCGGACCACAATCTCTTGCGAACCCTCGCTCTCTCGCGTCCCTACGTATCCCTGGAAAAAACGACAACTTCATATTTTACGAAACGAATATACACAATTTTAATAATTTTGAAAGCGAAAACTGGATCATCTATAATAAAACGTGACGTGAAAAGCAAACGAATGAACAAAATTGAACGAAAACGCAAATTGTTTTTTAATGATCACCTCAGGATAACTTTTTCCATCAGCATAAACAGACAGCCCTCCGAGTGATTGGCAGGAAGTAAAGACTTAAGGAGTTCCCTGATAAGGGCCTCGGTCATTCCTGGCGAGGTGCGTTCCGCTGTTTCGAACGCACTGCGCAGTTCCTCTATCGCGCCTCCGTTCTTGCCAATGCCGCTTCCGCCCTCACCATTATTGTCTCTTGCCGAATATTGATGTTTCCTTTGAAGCTACGATACGGACAGAAACAAAGGAATTAATTTCTCTATTTGTGTCCATCCATCTTTCAGAAAAGGAGATGGAACCCGATTAATAAACTTTTCTCTAATTTCTCTCTCTCTCTAAAAAAAATATTTACCTCGGACAGGAGAGGTAAAACAACACCGGAAAGAGCCGCGCTTCGAGAATGCTTCAGTTCCTGCGAGCTCCTTGGTCTCTGTTTGTCTTCACCGGGCCTATGGTCCACCATAGGTACGACAGGTACGTCCGGTTTACTGTTCCTCTTCTCTTTCGCGCTAAACTCCCTCTCCCTGTCCCTGTCTCTTTCCCTTTCCCGCCCTTCTCTATCCCGTTCCCTGTCCCTGCTCTCCCTGCTCTCCCTGCTCTCGCGCATCTCCTTCAACTCCCTCAACGAGGAATCCCGATTGAAATCCCGGTAGTCTCGTTCCTCTCGTTTTTCTCGCGTATCCACGGGCGGCGGTGGTGCAGCCTCGTGCGGTCGGGACTGAAAGCCATCGCAATTAAATTCCACCGATATTAAACAGAAGATATTATAAGAGAAGACCAGCATCTGCACACGGCGAAACGAATCCACCGTCACAGATAAACAATTCTCTTTTTTAATCGAATTTAATTTTACTACGCGAGCTATTTACCGGCGTATGCTTCGCTTGGCCATCGCGAACCGAGTCCCTCGACTCGCTCCTGTAATGATTCAACGTGGAATCGTTTGGCGGAGATCTCGAGGTACCGTTCGCGTGTGGCTTCGCTTGTTGATTGTGATTCGTCGATCTGTGATTCGGCGTGTGTGTGAGGGTCAACGAGGGTGGCTGCTCGTCCAACGGTAGCATAGGAACCACGGGACCTTTAACCACGTGTGGACCTTTCACCGTCATTATCCATGGATCGTCCATGTCGCTATCCTGCTTCGACTCTTCCCTGAAACGAACCAGCTTCAGTTGTATTCCTCGTACATTTATACTGTTAAATATATACATATCGGAGGGTAAATCCTTTGGAGGATTGATTCTGAACACTGTTGGTTGGTGAACACACAGAAACACAGGATCATCTCGTTCTATCTCCATCATCTCGCTTCGTCTATAAGTCTTCTTTTTTTTTTTTATTAGCATTTAACAGTTTTAACAGAGACTCTAGAATCAATCCTTCAAAGAATTGCACGCACAGAGTATATTTAACGCTCTGATAGAACAAATATTCGATAAAAATGGAAATTTACGAGTCCGAATTTTCGCTCTCCGTCTCGGATTCCTCGCTTCTCTGCGACTTCCACTTTTTGTATCTGTCTATGAGGTCGATCAGGTACGAGTTTTTCTTCGCCTTCCTGATGAACTGGAACTTCAATAGTTCTTTCGCCGTCGGCCTCTGAAGCGTAAGAAATAAAGGAAACGGATAATTAGGAAAATTATCACAACTTCCGCCAACTTGGTTCTCCTTCTAACAGAAAATTCTTTCTTCGAAGCACGTGCTCGCAAAGAAGTGCGCGAAAATTAAAAATAAAACGTATAAATACGTGGACATCTCCTGGCTCGGACGGAGATCAACTCACGTTTTCAGGGTCCTTGTTGAGGCAGGCCTCGACGAATTCCTTGAATTGCTTCGTATAATTTCCGGTTAATTGGGGCGGATTGTTCTTCGGTATGAGAAACAGGACCCTCATAGGATGCAGCTCGCTGTTCGGCGGTTCTCCCTTGGCCAATTCGATCGCCGTGATGCCCAGCGACCAAATGTCAGCCTGCGGAAGAAGTCTTCTTTTTAAAGAAGTCGAAGAGGTGTTAATCGGGCGATAATCATGACGCTACTACCGTTCTCCTTCATCTTTCGGACATTGTTTTAGAGAAATATATATATACACGAGGTCAGGAGGATGTGTAACGGATTCTAAAGAATCTTTTTCTAAATATAAATCTTACGTTCCTTGATCGATTTAATAATTAATTTTTTTCTTTCTATGAAAAGTATCGAAAATACATATAAATAGTGGATCTTTAAATGATTTCCCCCTGCGTGAAGAGTATGCGGATAAAGAGGAGTTGCGTCAAAGAAGAAGGAATCCCTCAAAGAGGTAAATCAGGTAAGCATCGAGAGGTGGAGAGTCAGAGATAGGTAATAAAATTAAATCTCTGGGGATACGTGACCGGACTGCACGCGAGTAATGTTCTCTCGAGTACGAGAAACAGTAAAATGAAAGATACAGCCGAGAAACTCGAGGATAATATTATCCGTGCCTTTCTCTGAGCGATTACCTTGGAATCGTAGGAAGCTTGCTTGATGACTTCCGGCGCCATCCAGAACGGCGTCCCGACGAAAGTGTTTCGTTTGCTGGTCGTATTGGTCAACTGTCCGGCAACGCCAAAATCGGCCAACTTGACGTCGCCCATCTCGCTCAGCAAAACGTTTGCCGCTTAAAAACGACGAGATTAAAAGTTAGTTAAAAGGGAGAGGGAAGAAAGGAAAAAAAAATATTCATTCAAAGCACAAATTGAAGAAACAGATTAATCTTTTCCTTTGTTTTCCGTTTTCTTCTTTTCTTTTTTTTTTTTAAATTTTTTTTTCTCTTGACAAATGCACCTTTAATATCGCGATGGAGCTTCCGTTCGCTGTGAAGATAATCCAACCCTTTGAGCACCTCGCGCAATATCACCGCGATATGCATTTCCTCGAAGTTACCGGCCTTCATCAAGTCCAGGGCCGAGCCGCCACCCAAGTACTCCATAATAATCCATAGTTTCGTTCCCTGCGAACAGAGAAAGATCCACGCTGTGTAACGAAACATCCCCCGCTTTGTGTCTGGAAACTTTGCCAGTGTGTCTCGGCCAATCTTTCTGCTCGAATCTGCGCCGTTACGATGCCAGAGACAGATTATACGCGTATATATTCCGTCGTGAATTAAAGTTAATCGAAAAAACCGAAGAATCTGGGGATGAAGCCAATTAAAGCGAAAATAAACGTTTACGCGAACGAAGCTGATTTATTTTTGGAGGGAAATTAGGGGGAGGGGCCTCGAAAACACGGCCTTGCTTCCGTGATATTTGCACAATGGATTGATCGAGCTACACATAAATAAATTATAATAAATTTAGAAACGATGATATCCAACGCTATTTTCAACACCACGTGTCTACTTGTTAACGTAACGTTAATTTTTAATAATCGTTCCGTTCCGTGTATGTATAGTATATCTCGCGCGGGTTCATCGATAATATTACACCGACACCGGATGTCCAATCGTTCCCCGCTTCTGGGCGCTTGTGCGCACCCGTGTAAAGATGATTCATTGGCTATCCGATAATCGCATCCTAATCGATGGATTAATCAATTGCGTTGTGCACAAGGATGCTCGGAGATTCGCGCTCTTTGGTCACCGGGTCGTGAAGGAATCATTAAGCAAGATACGAGACGATGACTCGATATACGACCGTGCTCGATCATCTTCCAGCGATGGTAAAAGCGATAGTCAAGGTGATGCAGACAAATAAATTTAATCAATGATGGATCAATGCAATCTTTCACAGCTGGCCTGTCTGATATATACAATATGTCTCGATATTATATTATAAAATAACGTTTCACACGAATTATATATATATATATTTAATATCGGTGAATGAAATTCTCAAGATAAACAAATTACACACACGAACAATTAATTACCTTTCAATAATTTTTCTAACCAATCTTTAAACGACATATCCACATTTTTTACTATATAAATCCATGGAGAAGAAATACTGAGTATTTCAGTGTTAGAAAGAGCATCATAAGAAATACCTAACGTAATATTAAGGTGATATCGGAGAAGAATTTGTTACGGAAATCCATTATCATCCGGGCCGTGTAAGAGGGGTATGTATATCGAGGCTATAAATCAAAAGGGGAGAACATTTTCTCGTGGTACTTGGCAAGATTTCTTCCAGATCGTGTTCCACTCGTCACGTCGAGGGGTGATAAGGTTGACAGTTTATGGGGGGGGGGGGGGGGAGGATATAATTTCCACGCGGTCCAGTTCGGCCAGATACTTGTGGATTCGTGGGAAGGGTGAGGGCGTGAAATGGCACACATTTATCATCGTCCTACCACGGCCAGAAGGCGCAACCGCTCGGCCCGGTTGCGTTCATTCTCGTGTAGATCCACCAACGTGAACGTGGGTGGGCAGGGTTCGCGAGGGTTCGTTCAACCTGGTTTTCCAACCAGGCCACTCTTCTGCCAGACGCGGAACGAGGGGTTGCTAAATCATTCCCCTATCCAGAGGCAGACGCAGCTTACCTCCCCCTCTCTCCCTTCTTCCGCGCACGCTCGAAAGAGAAGGGGTAAGGTGGTAAACGCGGAGGAAGGCGTCGCACCGCGCTTTTCTTGGATTTCGTCGGGGTATACTCTTCTTTCTTTTGCGCCCAAGGATTCCGCTCGAACGGAACAAGTTGCCTCTTCAATCTTTCTTCCCCCTCCCCTCTTCTTTCTCTTTCTATGGTTTTTCGAGAGAATGTCACTTTCCTTTTCTCTCATGAAGGAAGTTAAACGAGGAAGAAGATTTTTAAGATCAAGGAAGAAGATAAGCTGAAGATTATTTATGAGAAAATTCGCGAGAAAATAAAACGATCGACGGGAATATAGAGTGTAGATAGTAGTATAGATTTGACGTGTTTAATAAGATTCAATTTTCAAATATAAGAGAAAAAAGAGGGGGAAAGGAGAGCGAAAGAGAAAAAGAAGGGCTTGATAAGCCCTGGGGCGGTTTCAAACAAAATAGTTGCTCGTTTCTCGTTCGTCCCTTTCACTTCGCGACATTACTCCCCCGATTCTTTTACCGTCTCGCGGAAGATAGACACAGAAAGAAGAGGATGAGGGAGGAAAAAAATGCTTCTCGCTTTAATGAATGTCGTATTAAAAAAAAAACAAAATGTGTCGCGAATTCGAATAATTTTTTCGAATTTTTCCGATTATCCGCGAAACAAGGCCAATTCCAATGCTCTCCCATCGAATTTCTGTCTGACAATTAGAAACTTGTAAGTGAAAAGAGTATAGAGGTAATCGATAATATGCAAATCCTCATCGCGACTAGATCGACTGCCTTTCGACTCGCGTATCCCACCGTTCTCTAGAAGAAGCAGCTGTAAAAGCGGGATGAAATAAACGCGAGAAAATGAATGGCCGTGCGAATATTGCGCGATCTCCAGTGTGTCGCGTGTGTGAATGGAAAAGAAAGGGCGCGAGGAAGAAGGGGAGGAGGCGAAGGTTGTAACAGCGGAGTGTCGCTATGAAGAAGCGAAAGAACGATGGTGGACGAACGGTGTGATTAATGGCCGATTTCGCTTCTCTCTATCGCGAGTGTCCTTTTGTTCCTGCGTTTCGCAAAACGGCAGGCAGGCGTGTCTGTGGCAGTGATCAACGATCCCACGGAATTAATCTTCTCTCGTCCGCGTGTCCTCCTCCATCTCCTATTTCGCCCATTGCCCGGCTTATAAGAATATTTCTTTCGAATTATTTCTCCAATCACGATTTCTGTGTTCTCTTAGAATAGAATATTCTTTTACTCGAGGAATATTAAAATATCCTCTGTCGATTTCTTCGCGTTGCCTTTATTTATCGGGTCGGTTGTTATTTCGGGAATTACTTTTTGTTCTTAGAGTCTCTTGTGTTCCACGATTCAGTTTATTTTTTTTTGCATAAAAAATACGACGATCGGTAAATATTCAACGTGAAAGTGAAAGCGAAAGCGGATAATATTTCAATCAGGAATAATCGAGACTGGGAAGACGGATCTATCGGGTGGAAAGAAATTAGTCGTTGTTTAGAGTTTAGAGGCGCGGCAACGCCTCTTTGTATTCTTGGATCGTGGTCAAATCAGGCAAATCGGAGCCATTAGAAAATTGGTCGGCTAATAATAGAGGCTTGGTGGTTCGCGATGAACGACATAATCCGTTACATAAAGTCGAGCAACCTTTTCTCGGGACTATATAACCTCCTCCTAAATAATTACTAATTTTGTCAGAGTTAATTCTCCTTCCTCGAAGCTGCCTATCTACTATCCGATTCTATTCTGCTATTCGATCGATGCACAACTTCCCTTTGCAAAATTCCCCTTCCGAGGAGTGGACGAAGATGGAACAGGACACGATACTCGGATACGGAAGGACGAGGTAATCGATGATTAAAAAAGAAAAAAAAGAAAGAGAAAAGACAAGGACGCGGGGATCGCAATTTGGTTAAAAGGCCGGCAATTTAGGCTTTCGAGGCTGAAACGATCCCGTAATAAGCGTCCAATTAGATTTATTCATTCATAAAATCTGAGATGCTCGTTCCAGTCTGAGCTCCCGGCACAAGTACGCGCCACGGAGAATCGTCTTTTGTTCGAGAAACAATGAACCGAGCATAATGGGGAATAAAGGCGCCTGTGGGGAATGGCAGCAAGATTCTCGACGCCTGGATTCCGTTTCGATATTTCGCGTCAACTCGCCACAACTCGGCCTCCTCCTTCCCCCTTTCTCCTTCGAAAAAGAAAAAAAGGAAAGGGAAGGGAAGAGAAAGGAATCGAGCGAATTTTCGAAAAGGAGAGGGGAAGATTAATTATCTCCAAACACGAGAAATTGCGGAGCGGAAAAGTTGAAGTTAACCGAGATGGAGGAACAATTAAAATCGAATAATCGAGAGAAAGAGAGAGAGGAGGAGAGGGTCGGTTGGAAAAATATTCGATTGTCAATTGGAACCGTTTTGCAATTACTCGCGGGGGAAGGAAACGCGTTAAATAACGACGATACGGAAAATGGAGAATAACGGTGAACCAACACACAGGCCGCCGGGGAACAATAATAATCCGCTTCTGGAGGGAAAGAGAGAGAGAGAAAGGGGAGGAAAAGCGGCGCGAGAAGGGACGAGACGCCCCTCATCATCCACCGGATGCATCCGGAATTGAGAAACATTGAGGAGTGTCGGCCCTTCCCCGATTTTTCTCGGCAAAGAAAATCCCGGCTATCTCGTTTCTCGCGATTTTCGAAACCCGGGGAAATATGTACAGCGTCGAAGGAAGGAAAAACTACGCGGGAGAAAAAAAATAGCGCCTTTCATTTGCCCGCTGCCTTTCTTCACCTCGCCCACGCGCTACCTGAATTAACCTTTAGTTCATTACGCTGATGGAAAGGGTTGAAATCGATATTCGTGGGCTAGATTCTCGTCGAGGAAAAATCGGGACGATGTAAAATGTTTTCCCCACGAGGGGGAGGGAATGTTTTACGGGGCGCAGCAGGGTGTTGTTGATCAACTTATATCATGGTGGTTTTCGACTGGAGGAAGATCGAGAAGGGGAGAGAAAAAAAAAAAAGAGAGGACTGGATAGATCCGTTACGCCATGACAGTCGATTGCAAAAGTTCTCATACGGAGTAAATTCCGAACGAAAATCGATAATAATTTCGTTTTATTAATCGAGTAATACGCAGTAATGGAATATCGTAGAATCAGAAATCAATCCTTCCCAAAATCTGAAGCGTTATTTTATATATTTTATATTGTACTATAAGTTTTAATGTTATGTGTTATAGCCTTGCGTTACAATACGTGCAGGCGAAAGAATACATGTGCAACATCGGAGAATCGTAAGAAATCATTCATTCAACGTATATTACGTAAGATTTACGAAGAAAATTTTGCAATTGAATTTTAATTCTCCGCGTAGGCATAACTTCCTTTTTCGACAATTGGATGTGTCATCTTCTTAACGTTGATTGGAATAGAAGGAAGAAGGAAAAAAGGAGAAAGAGAGAGAGAAAGAGAGAGGGGAGGAGAAAAAAAAAAGGAAAAGAAGGACATTTAGGTGCGAACGAAGGGGACGTGGAGGAAAATGAAGTCTCGTAGGCGAGCGTGAAGAAATGCGAGGAAGAAGCTTTTGTTCAGTCTTTCGCATCTCTCTTTCTCAGTGTTCGGCATCGATGGAGAATACGTATCGGGAATAAGATTGCGGAGGATGGAGGATCCTTTTGTGCGCGCGGCTGTGATTAATGGCGGCACAATAGCGCGCGTGCCGTGGGATATGATCGTGTGCGACACACACACACACACACGGCCCAGGATGGATAGGTTTAACGCCGATTCCTCAAAAAATCAATATCGAAGACATACCTCGCACCTGACGTAACGCTCTAATCTTTTCCTAATACCCGCCAATCCTGCCAGATTAATCCTATCCGTTTTAATACGCGTCGTATTTTCCCTCCGCCACGTGTAAACTGTAAAATCTTTTTATCCTCGATTATGCACGGATCGAAGATGTTCGTCTTTGCTTCGAAATAAACTCTTTTCTATACTAATAGGAAAAGACTCGAGAGTTTTGTTGAAAGTAGAAAAAAGAAAAAAAAAAAGAAACATATCTAAATTGCCGATTTTTCCACTCCTGAAATCGAAAGCGACGATAAATAATATTTTAATCAAATTTCTCCAAAAGTCCCCGTTCTTGGTCTTTTTTTTTTTTTAGGATCGATTATATATACGATTGTCTGGTGTATTCAATGAAAAGTGATTTTCATGCTAGTGCATGGACACGTATAATTCGAGGCCATTAGAACGCGATGAACCGATTAAATGCACTTTGCGAAGAGTGAATCAAAACGATCATTATCCTTCATGATAGCTACGAGAGGGGGGAGGGGGATAAGGGGGAGCGTTAATTGCGAGACAAGGGTAGAAACAAGGCTGGGAGACGAGGGAACGGAATTAGAAGGGAGAGGATTCTCTTCGTTTCCGGTCTCGGGAAGCGGAAAATTAAGATGATTACCTATGAAACGAACCGATGTCCGATATTAAGCCCCAAGGAGAACTTTCGTTAATGAAACGATCATTAGCGAATCGTTAATTGGCCATCCATTGGTTCTCTCGTATTTTCATTCGAATAAAAATCTCACGTATCGGTATAACGAATTGGAAAATTTTGCAAAGAGGAGCTTTCTCTTTCCTCTGCACCCTGCTCGCGAGAGGAGACGAGTTTAAATCTTGTTGCATCGTCCACCAACCTATTTCTCTATTTACGAACCTCGTAAAGCGTACAAAGATTCGCGAAGAAATTTCTCTGCCCACGCGAGAGAGAGAGAGAGAGAGAGTTTTAAATTTCCATCGAGACGATGCACCTTAGAATATCCCAAAGAGCGTAGTAGGAAAGAAAAAACGAAACCTAGAACCCGTGCCACAGTGGACGCAAGTTTTATTTCAACACTCTTTCGACCGTGCACGTTGTTCGCGGCGGCAGGAAGCGGAAGCGTGTCTATGCGACACTGTCCACCCGGAAGCGATGGTTAACCGACCGTCAAGCCCTTCCCATTCTTCGCGTATGAAAAATGACGGGGGCGTATTGGCCGAGTGTTCGTAATAGCGGGGCTCGAAAAAGGGTGTTGTTCGCTCTCCTCGCTCTCCGAAAATATTGTGAAAATTCATCGAAACGGAACGGTGACATAAAGGCGTGGTCCATGCTGTTTTTTTTTTTTTTTTTTTTTTTTTTTTAACGAACCTGCTTCGATTCAACGCTCTGCACGCGCGAACCCGATCACTGTAATTTCGTTTTGCACGACGAACGGCGCATCGACAACGTTTCCAATTTTATTATTGTTATTACAAAATGCTACGAATACCCACGGTAAAATTTATCCTCGGTATCTGGTGCTCGCGTTAACCGAGTATAACGAGACACCGAGAATCGGAAATTAAAGAGGGATCTCTCGAGACACGAGAGGCTTACCTTGAGATAGGACCCGTAATACTTGGTGACGTATGGGCTGTCGCATTGGGACAGCACCATGATCTCCTGCTGTATATCTTCGATCTCATCCTCCGCCTCCTCGAGATCGATGATCTTGATGGCGACAACCTGCTGGGTCCTATTGTCGATGCCTTTGAACACCTCTCCGAAACTACCCTTCCCAATTCGTTCTTGTTTCGTGAATATCAGCTCGGGGTCCACCTTCTGCGAACAGATAAAACCAAATTATCTCCCTTCGGATGAAAATTCGGATGAAAAGGTAACGACGATTGGGGGAGGAAAAGGGGTGGAAGGGACTTGGCAAAGCTCTCCGCGATTTGCTACGCTTTTTGCCAAATCTCGCGGGGATGTTACAACGGCGAAAGTTTGAACGGATTTTACAGAGGAGGCCTGGTCTGGCAATAAGCGTTTTACCAAATTTCCTTCAACGACTCGAAACCACAATTGTCACGGCCCCTTTTTTGACAAACTTTTGAAACGAAAATCCGCCCCGATGCGGAAGAACTTTTACGGAATTGAAAGAAGTCGCGTCTGCTCGATTCTTCGTATCTTTACATCGCGCAAATGTTATATTAAATGTTATATTAAATGTGAAAAAAAAAGAAAAAAAGAAGGCGAAACACGGTCGAGAGGCCAATATACGATATTCCAAGCATTCTTTCGCACCTTCCAAGTGTTGAAACAATCGTAAAGCGTGAAGAGAGAACAGCCTCGGGATAGAATTACGACGAGCGTCAATCCTCGTTACGAGGAGGAATCAAAGATTCAGAGGAGAAGATCCATCCACGTGGGACTTTCTTTCCAACCGCACGTCCTTCGAAAGTCGAAGAATGCAGCCACGTCTGTGAGAAATGCAGTTCTCCTTGGCTCCTTTCTAACCGATGACACGTGATGTCATAGCGGATAGCAGAGAAATGCGGCGTATCGACTGACTAACTAATCCGTTGATTCGATTTGACATCGCTCGTAATCTCTCGTAGAAAAGCCTCGAAACTCTCGATCAAATAATCGAAATAATCAACGCGATGTCGAAGAAGGAAAGATCACGAGAAGAGAGGAAAAAAATAGATAGGGGAGGGAAGGGGGTTTTGCAAAAGCGCGAGAATAAAATCGATATCCAGGAAAATTCATCGGGGCGTTTGAAACGCTCTCTCGACTGTGGCGTGGACCACACAGTGTGAGAAAATTTGCAAAGCAGATTTTCCGCATTTTACCGGCCGTCTACCGCGCATTTTATACCGCTCTTCGCCCTTCCTCTCTATCTTCAATCCGGTCTCTATGATGCGAGCTTTTTATCTACGTGACTTTCCACGCGCGCGCCTTTCGCAAACACACCGAGTGGATTCTAAAAAAAAAAAAAAAAAAAAGGGAAAAGAAAGGGAGGGAGGGGAAAAATAGAAGAGAACGTAGTCTGTTTATCGCCGCTTTCATCTCGACCAAATTTTTCTCGTTGTTCGTTCGGAACAAACGCGGGCCATTCGCTTCAATTTCCACGCGGATCTGTCGTCGAAATTTAGGCTTCGTTTCCCAAACTCACGTTTCCAACGTTAAGGAAACATCTTGCAACGAAATCAATCGCCACCTCGAAGAGAGGTAACGAAAGTAGACAGAAGAGAAGAAAGAGAGAGATAAACGTCATGCTTGCGAATCATGGAGGAGGAAAGGAAGGTGGAAAAAAAGAATAAGTAGTTTCGACCAAGTTTGAAACGGCCTCGATTTCTTGCCTTATTTTTTTTTTTTTTCCCTCGGCGTAAACCGCTGTCGTTACGGCGATTAGAGCCGGCTGCTACTCGCCAGTTTCCCAGTGCCAAGAAGGAGAGATGAAAAACTCTGGAGGAGGCGGGGAGTGGGGGAGAAAGGATGGAAAATCGGTTGTACACGGTGTTTCACGGACGACCGGCCACGGAACGCGAACGATAAAGAGACAAATTGCGTCCGTGTGACGTTGCTCCGCGCGATAAAGTCGAGAAGAAGGCCGCGTCTTAGCTCCTTTTCCCTGTCTGATTGCCGATTGCATGAAACTCACGACACGAATTATAATTAACGAACGTCAACGGCACAGAGAGCCGGCAGATACGTGGTGGTTGAAGCACAAGGGAAGCTGAACATCGTCGCTTCGACGAAGAGATCTTCTGCTGCAACGATTCTTCTTGATTTTCTACACATCTTAGCTCTCGATTGAAAGATGCAGAGTTTCGAAATCAAAATTGATTCGTTCGATTTTTCATTTTTTTTTTTTTTTATTATCAATCGTGAAATATATCCATTGGAAATCTGATTCGTCTTTCGAGGGAAAATTCAAGTGGAAAGCGTGGTGTCACAAATCTTTCTCCTTCGCGATTTTCACGTGTCGTCAGTGAAGGAAGATCTTCTTGAAAAGATAAACTCGAATATATCGAATACTTCCTTTCCTTTATTTACGACTGATACTTATTTCTTGGATTCCCCCCCTTGCTCACTTTTCGGAAGAAAAGAACACGATCGAACATTTCACCTTCTTTATTTCCTCGTTATTTTATTCTCGAAGTTTCTTGCAGGCATAAGTAATTAAAGGCATAACGCTTTTTATCACCCGTTGGGATTAATAAAGTAGTTGAACGATCCAACTTTTTATTATTTTTTACTATCACATATGCATTTTCTCCGACTTCGATCGAGCAATAATAAACCGCCTCGTTTTACATTATTTCTCAAGGCGCGCGTAAAAAAAAAAAAAAAAAAAAAAAAAAAAAAAAAAAAATACGTTTCGAGAATTGTCGTAAATCAAATCGTCGCGCGTTTCCAAGAAGAAACGAGGAAGATATCGTAAGACGCGTCTGTCTGTCACCCCTCGAGCTGATAAGGGTCGAGACGCGCCCCGGGCAGTGAATTACACCGATGCGTGGTCAGACAATTAGCGAGAAAGTTGGCGCGGAGCGCCGCGTCTCTTGTTTCCCCAACTCGGTGATGCTGTTACGTACACTCCACTCTGCTCTCACAGCAGACCAGAAATTCTGATGGGCAAGTTATCCACCCCCGAAACTGAATTATCCAACAACCTCGTGTTAAAAGGGTCGCGTGTTACGCCTCGTATCGTTGCCAACCCGGTTACAACCCGCTCGCTCCGCGTTATATAATTGACGTAGCGATACCGACCTCCGTGTAAAATTAACGTTTCCACAACGCACCATATATTATTATGCGATAGAAACACTTCCACGCATACACACCTGTCTCTCTTTCTCTCGAAAGTTTCACGAGGAAAAATTGTCGATCGAGGTGGAACGAAAAATTTGTTGCAAAACCTCGAGGAGAAAAAAGAAGAATTGGCAGGAAACGAATCAAGAGAATGCACAATCGAGACACACACACACACACACACATACACAAGAAAAATGACACGTTAAGTTTTGAATATCGAACGAAGCGAAATATATAATCCCTCGAAACGAAGAAACCAACCTCCTTGCCAACTTCCTTACGCTGCCTCTTACGGACTTTCGCAACGTTTACAAGTCTATTTTAACCGGAGCTATTCTTCGTCTTGTCGATTCACGGCTTCCAAACCGCTTCGTCTTCTTAAGAAACTAGCGCTTAAAATCGATGAGTAACCACCTTCCGTTATTTTCCGCTTGACAAATCGTCGCACCATACGGATTACTTATCATTCCAATTTCACCACGACAAATTTGCGTAGCGAGATTTCATGCAAGATTCGCGCGTTCAGTGCGTTGCAGTTTCGAAGGGGGGATTCGTTTACTTTATTTACCCCAGGCACAGGAGGAGGGGGAGGGTAAACGTTTTTCGGCCGACTAAACACCCAGGCAACCGGGTGAAATTAATGCTCGAGGTGCGACGAGACGATAGCGGATGCGGGGAGGGAACGGGTTGGTATTTGGGCCTGACACAGCGAGCGTTCCAGGGTCAATCAGCAGAGTCAACATCGGCAATAATAGAACGGGCAAACAAAATCTGGCGCCACGGGATTACAATGTGTGTAACCAGACCTCGGATACGAAGACGCAACCGGGTTGAAACTCGACCCGGTTACGGAGTTGAAAATCTCATCGATCGTTTCTACCAACGTCTCGAGAAAAGGCAAACTTCTTTTTCCCGCGATCGATTATCGATCACTCTTTTTTTTTAACGAGTTCTGAACGAGCCACTTGGAGTGGGAGAGGAGATCGGCGGCGCGAGTGTTTTTTCATCGTCGTCGCGAGGGAAGTTTCGTTTGCGCGACTCTTCGTCGAAACGAGACGAAACGATCCGATGAAAAGGGACGTTTAATCTTCGCTCAGGAGAAAGGTAAGGCAGGAGATCGGTTCCGTCAGACAGACGAACGCGCCGCGCGATCAGAGCGATATTTTTAATCGCGCCCTTGTCCCGTCGATCGATCTCTCTTATCCTTCGCTATTTTTCACTTTTTTTTCAAAGTATCGAGAAAATCTCGATGTCGGATCTTTCCCACGGATAATAGCGATAATAATAGAGACGCGTGGCGCGATAATAAACGAGACACTCTTGGAAGCTGCGCGCCCCGATTGAATCGAAATACTGAGACAATCCTGTTTGTGAAAAAAGAAGAAGAAGAGGAAGAAGAGGAAGAGGAAGAAGACGAAGAAGAGGAAGAAGAAGAAGAAGAGGAAGAAGAAGAAGAAGAGGAAGAAGAAGAAGAAAAGGGCGAGGAAGAAGAGCAGGAGGAGGAGGAGGAAGAAAAAATTCGTGTTAATTCCTCGACGCACAGTGGCAAAAGTGGACCAAGACGATTTTCTAACGGGGTCGTTAGGTAATTGTGGAAGATTTCTGCGACGGTTGGCACGGCCGTTACAACGGCATTTCCATAAAAATCCAATTTACGATGGTCGGAGGGGAGGGGAACGGTGGGAAAGATTGTGGACGAGAGGAGGCTCGGCCGCCTTCAACGGCACAACTTCAACGGTGTTCGAAAGTAGTTCAACGAGCGTGCGTTAGCGCCATGTGTCGTTCGACCTCGTTTGTTGCGAGAGTAATTTATCGCGGGAGAGGGAGGTGAAAAATTAAAGTTTTTAAACGGCGTTTTCAGGGTTCGACCGAGTGATTCCGAGCGTGGCTGGCCGGAACGACGGGAAGACGGTGTTGTCTTCGCGGCTCGGGACGAATATCGCGCCTCGCGTTGCCTCTAAAATAAACGAAAATCGGCGCGAGTTTGCCTATAAGGAGATAAATCCCGGCCTCCTCGCTCTACT